CCCCTGCATCGGCAGGCGGACTCTCAACCACTGCACCACCAGGGAAGCCCCATTTGTCTTTTTAACACAACATTTCAATCATGCAAAACAATGTATGTCTTGCTTAGAGACATATTTTTTAATGAAGAAATGCATAGGATGATAGACTCCAAAATTTAGGAGAGGATTAGCTCTCTGAAGGAAAGAAGGGATACCATCACAGAGGTACACAGCGGATTTTATCTTGGCAATCACTTATTTCTTAAACTGAGTGGTGGGCATGCTGCTAAGGGGTTGGTATCTTATTCCTTATGAGATTAAAAAATTAGTAATCTGACTTCAAACTGCCTTCCTAGCCCTCATTTCATCTCTCCGTCTCTTGATGTTCCCTCTACTAAAATGACTTTTTTTCTTCTCCTTAACCTTGTCCATCTAGAGAATTCTTTCTGACTCATCATTCAAAACAGATGTCGCATGTCACTGCCTCTGGGCCACCTTCTCTGAATTCCTCAGGGAGGTTTGTTTTTCTTTTCAGTGATCCCTCAGCATTTGGTTCTTACAGGCTGACAAGTTTTAGGTCATATTCTAACTCCCTTTCTCTCTCCGTCTTGATTTACGTGTCTCTAGATTCTTCTGCTTACAGTGTGGTCTGGAGACTAGTAGCGCTGGCATCTCCTGGAACTGTCAGATATGCAGAATCTTAGGCTTCACCTGAGAAACTGCATTTTAACAAAATTCCAGGTGGTCCCCTGGCACATTAAACTTGGAGAAACACCACCCTGGAACAGTGCTCCCATCGGGTGGTCCAGTGACTAAAACTGTGTTTCTAGTCCAAGATAAGTACAGAAATTGAGAATAAGCATTTAGAAACTTTTAGAGCAGTTGGGCAGACTAATTTTACGCCTATTGAATCTAATTTTCAAAATGGGGCTTGTATTTTGTAGGCCTCTGTTCTATGTCATTTTCCTAGTAATTCATTTTTACTGTATTTTTACAAAAGTATCAGTCCCTGATGGATTGGAAATTTTTTTAAGTCTTTCATGATAGTTTGGGAAGGGCTGCTTAGATAGCTTTATTCTCTATTTCAACATTTAACAGGAGATACTCATAGAAGATGCTCAACAAATGTTGATGAATAACTACTTAATGAAATATACCCTTTTTTGGCCTATATTTGAATTTTTGACAGCAAGATGTCCTTCATCATCACCCGGTTCAAGAGATGAAAACAACCCCATCTACGTAGCCCCAGCTATGAATGGTCCAGTTTGGGTATGGAGAGAAAATGGGAACCTGTTGATACAGCAGCACATTTCCCAGCAAGGAAAGGGGGAATGAGAATAAAATGGAAAATATAGAAGAAGGGTGGAAGACCATTTTAAAATATTCACCTCGAAAAATTCTGGATTCCCTTAAGCAAGGCTGTAAGGTGAATGGAAGGACTCCTGAACTTGGAATCTTGAGATCTAATTGTGTGTTTCAGTAAGTCACTTTTTCTACCTGCAGAATGTAATCATGAAACTTGATCTACATCGCATGGTGGAGGGAAAATGAATATGCTTTGAAAAATAGATGTCCTGGGAATTCCCTGGTGGTCCAGTGGTTAGGACTCCGTGCTTCCACGGCAGGGGGCACGGGTTCGATCCCTGATGGGGGAACTAAGATCCCACATGTCACGCAGCATGGCCAAAAAAAAAAAAAAACTGCTGTCCTGTAAGTGCAAGGTAACTGGTTCAACACGTCAGTGTTTGGGTTATTGGATTCTCTGGACCAAAGAAGACAAATTCTGTTTTTATCATGCCTTCCCTTCTTGTGAACACAGATAATCTATAGATAACTGGGGAGGGGAAGGAGAGGAGATGAAAGGAGTGGTCTGGGGGGACATTTAGACCTAAGAACTAAAATACAACACTTGTGTGAGATTTTATGTATCTTATTTTTAAGTAAAATTTCTGATCAGTGGCAGAATAATTCTGGGAAGGAATATGTAGATATCTATAGATATATAGATAGATAGATATTACTAAGAGCCAAATGCTTTTGCTTATCTGTTTACAATTATTAGGTTGAACCATATCAAATTGCCAACTTTTGACTGTTTTTGACCTGTAAAAGTCGGTAAGCTTAGGAAAAAATGAAGAAAAACATAGAGGATTTCTAAGGTAACTACTCACCTATGATTTTCTCTTCTAATACTAGTACAAATACTCCTTATCCTGTTGATGACTGCAGTCTACTCAGCACACAACTCCAACAGATTTTATCTCCGTCAAGCTATCCACAAGAGCTTTCCTTACCGCTTCTCAGAGATCAAACTTCTTAAGCATTTCTACCCCTGGGCCAGTAGCACCCTCCTTCCTAACCTGTACAGGGATTACAGAGGTAAGAACACTGTCCTGGGGCCCAGCCCTGCAAATGTGGGGTGCAGTTGGTTTTCCAAACACCCCTGCAGTAACCCATAAGAACACTGGAGAAAGGTCCGCTGGCTTTTTCAAAATGACTGCACCTCTGTGGGCACCCAAAGGTCCACTCCCAGGGCCCCATCTAAGCAGGTTCAGGTTTATGTCTGTTCACCCAAGGGTGATCAGGCCCATGAAGGCTAATTCCCACTGATAAGTTTCACAAGAGGCTGATAAACAAAATTGAGACTTTATTCACTAACAACATGAAAAGTAACTGGAGTGATCCCTGGGACTGGTTGCCTCCTTGTGAAGGAGGGAACCACATGTAGCTGAGAAGTTTGTTCTATAAGCACAGAACCACGAAAACAGCATAACCAGAAAGATCTCCACACCAGATGATATTTTGATATATTGCCTGATGTGCAGTCATTCCCAAGTCTGTGATGTGTCTGTGTAACTTTTCTTGGATGGTTATCCAGTTCAGTTCCACGAATATATAGTGAACACCTAGTATGCTGGGGACTGTCCTAGGAGCTAATAAAACGATGGACATTCTATGGTTTGTACCCTCAAAGAACCTCACCATCAAGAGGAGTTAGTATGGGGACTTCCCTGGTGGCACAGTGGTTGAGAATCCGCCTGCAAATGCAGGGGACACAGGTTCAAGCCCTGGTCCGGGAAGATCCCACATGCCGCGGAGCAACTAAGCCCATGCGCCACAACTACTGAGCCTGTGCTCTAGAGCCTGTGAGCCACAACTACTGAGCCCACGTGCCACAACTACTGAAGCCTGTGCGCCTAGAGCCTGTGCTTCACAACAAGAGAAGCCACTGCAATGAGAAGCCCATGCACCGCTACGAAGAGTAGCCTCCGCTCACCACAGCTAAAGAAAGCCCACGTGCAGCAACAAAGACCCAAACGCAGTCAAAAAAAAAAAAAAAGAAGAGTTAGTATGAATGCTTGTTTTTTTTAATTTTTTATTTTTATTTTTTTCATTTGGCTGCATCGGGTCTTAGTTGCAGCACGCAGGATCTTTTCATTGAAGGGCACGGGCTCTTCATTGCGACACGCAGGCTTCTCTCTAGGTGTGGCGCATGGGCTCCAGAGCATGTGGGCTCAGTAGTTGCATCCACAGCCTCTCTAGTTGTGGCACGCAGGCTCAGTAGTTGCCACGCTTGGGCTTAGTTGCCCCATGGCATGTGGGATCTTCGTTCCCTGACCAGGGATCGAACCCACGTCCTTTGCATTGGAAGGTGGATTCTTAACCACTGAACCACCAGGGAAGTCCCAGTGTGAATGCTTCTTGTTCAGTATCTTTCACCAGTTACCAACACCTTGCCATATTATAACTTTATATCTTATTAAGCTGTATTCTGGAAATTGTTACATTCATTAATCTCAGGATTGGTGGCTTTCTGTTGGGATTTGGAACATCTCCTATGTTCCTGAAAAAAATCTGAATGATATGTTCATCTCAGCAAACATGTATAGTCCTTTTTTTTAAAATTAATTTTTATTGGAGTATAGTTGATTTACAATGTTGTTAGTTTCTGCTGTACGGCAAAGTGAATCAGTTATACATATATCCACTCTTTTTTAGAATCTATTCCCATATAGGTCATTACAAAGTATTGAGTTCCCCGTGTTATATAGTAGGTTCTTATTAGTTATCTATTTTATATATAATAGCGTGTATATACAATCCCAATCTTCCAATTTATCCTTCCCCCACTTTCCCCCTTGGTAAGCATAAGTTTGTTTTCTACATCTGTATAATCTTTTCTTAAACGTGTACTTGCTGCATTTAAGAGTTTTAACAGATGGCAACTTCTGTACATTGTGTGTTGATTCTTTCTAGTTGAGTTTTAAACGGTGACAGTTCTAGGTTGAGGGCATATTCTGTTTTCAGTCAGTAACTGTCTATACTGGCTTAAATAAAAAGTGAATCAGACCCTGGGTGGCTAAGGCTAGTGCCATCACAATAGGCATGTTCTCCTCTTAGACTCCTTTGCTTTACAGTATAGTGTCGTGGTCCAAAGGCACAGACTCAGAAGGCTGCCCAGACTGCCCAGGTTCACATCCTTGTTCTCCATTTACTAGCAGTGTGTTCTTGGGTAAATTACTCAACCTCCTGTGCCTCAGTTTCCCCATCTGTACAATGGGGATCATCTTAGGACCTACCCTGTAAGATAGATGTGAAGATTAAAACCTTAGTAGATCTAAGTGCTTAGAACAGTGTCAGGCACATACTGTTCAGTCGATGGGTGTTAGCTGTTGTTATTAACTGGGGCAGTTGGAGCTTTGGTTGTACTAGAACCAAAGAGTTTACATGAGTTACCTGGACATACTAAGGAAGAGCAACAGCAATCTGTAGATGTAGATAATGAAATATAATTAAGTAGATATGGGGTAAACAGCAGTAAAAATTGTAACATTTTTTAACTCTTCAACTGCTAAAAAATGTTTGCTTTCAGAATTGATGTAGCCCAGTCCCATTAGTCCACTTGTTTTCAGGAATATTGAAGCCCAAGCCATTCATGGCAGATAATCTGTATCCTGTAAATAAATTTGTATCCTATAAATACAGAACTTTCCTAAATAGCCTAGTCCAATGTTGAAACACATTTAGAGAAGAATTTTTTTGTAGGATTTAATTAAAATTCCTCTTGCAGCAATTTAAATTTTTATCTCTTTTGACTTTCTTCTGAGGTAAAAAAACACTAATCACAATTCTACAATTACATAGTTTTTATTTAAGAAATATAAAGTAAGACCATCCTTGAAGGTTAAGTCACCCTTTACCTTTCTCTTTTATCTTCTGCAGGACCCTAGGTCCTTTAATAACCTACTGCAAACCTCTCCCTGCCAAATTTTGTAACATAATCTTTTTCTTTCATGTTAAAACATTTTTTCATAATTAAAACATGAATATGTAGAAAATCCATATGTACCATGATGTATATTGTGCAACTCTCCTTTATCCCCTGATCCCCCTTCTCTCTTTCCTAGAGGCAACTACATTCCCAATTGGTTATACAGACATACCTCACTTTACTGTATTTCACTTCACTGCACTTCACAGATACTGCATGTTTTCTTTAACAAATTGAAGATGTGGCAGCCCTGTGTGAAGCAAATTCATTGGCGCCACTTCTCCAACAGCATTTGCTCACTTCGTGTCTCTGTGTCACATTTTGGTAACTCTAAATATTTCAAACTTTTTCATTGTTATATTTGTTAGGGTGACTTATGATCAGTGATCTTGGATGTTACTATTGCTAAAAGAAGGCTCAGATGATGATTAGCATTTTTTAGCAATAAAGTATTTTTTTAGCAATAAAGTATTTTTAATTTAGGTGTATGTATATTGTTTGTTTAGACATAATGGTATTGTACACTTAATAGACTATAATACAATGTAAACATAACTTTTTTTTCCCGCCACACCGCACGGCCTGCAGGATCTTACTTCCCCAACCGGGGATCGAACCCGGGCCCCAGCAGTGAAAGCACCGAGTCCTAACCACTGGATAGCCAGGGAATTCCCTAAACATAACATTTATATATGCACTAGGAAACCAAAAAATTCATGTGACTTGCTTTATTGCAGTGGTCTAGAACCGAACCCATAGTATCTCCAAGGTATACTTGTAAATTCTTTCAGAGGTAATCTATACATTTGCAAATACATTTGATGATAAATAGCAGCATACTATAAACATTGTCATGCCTTTTTGCCTTTTCCCCTCAATTTGCCTGGAGATTGTTCCATCAGCATATATAAAGCTGTCCCTTTTCATGTTTTATTCATTTACTATATAGTATGCCATTGTGTGGATGTACCATAAGTTTTATAACCAGTTCCCTATTAATAGACATTTAGATTATTTCCACTCTTATACTGTTAACAATAATACTACCATTTATACCTTTTTACATATGTAATTTCACTCATGTGCAAATATATCTGTAAGATAAGTACCTTGAAAAGACTTGCTAAAAATGTATATCCATTTTTCATTTAGAAAGATACTGCCAAATTGTTCTCCTCAATTGTACCAATTAATGTTCCCATGAGCAATGTATTAGATCTGCCCACATCGCCAACAGTTCAGTGAACATTGGTGTTTTCATACAATACAGGTAACTCTGAAATATACAAAAGGTTTGCAACTGCACTCATGAGAAAATGCAAGTTTAAACTAAGGAACCATTTTTCACCACTCATATGGACAAAACTTGCCTCTGCTCTTGCCCTTCTTCATTCCATCTTCCCCATATTATCTTTTTACAACATAAATGTGTTTTGTTCAAACCTCCCAATGGATTCCATCGTACTTAAAATAAAAGCCCAAACCCTTTCTAAAGTTTACTCTAGGGCCTTCCCTGTCCAGAGCTGTAGCTACATCTGTTACTTCTCCCACCCTCATTCTGACCCTCCTTCACTCTAATTCAGCCACACAAGCTTCTGTGCTCTCCTTAAACACGATGCACATGCTCTTGCCTTGGAACTTGCTGTTGCCCTGACTGACGTTTGCATTGGGAGCTCCAAACTTTATTAGGGTCTTTCTCATATGCCACCTCCTCTGAGAAACCTCTAATCATCCTGTAAATAAATAGCACTGCTCCCTCCTCACAGAACACTCTCTATCCCCTCTTCCTACTCAGTTTATTCTTTTTTAAATTATTTATTCATTCATTTTTGGCTGCATTGGGTCTTCGTTGCTGTGTGTGGGCTTTCCCTATTTGCGGTGAGCGGGGGCAACTCTTCTTCATTGTGGTGCGCGGGCTTCTCACTGCGGTGTCTTCTCTTGTTGCCAAGCACGGGCTCTAGGCACGCAGGCTTCAGTAGTTGTAGCACGCGGGCTTAGTTGCTCCGCGGCTCAGTTTTTCTTCATAGCACTATTATTACCTGAATATTGTTTGGTTATTGCCTGTCTCCCTCCCTCCTCAAATGTGCATGCTCTGTGGACAGGGACTCTTGTCCACTGCTGTGTTCCCAGCACCTAGAACAGGACCTGGTGTATGTGAGCACTCAATACATACTGATTGAGAAAGAACAAATGAATGTCATTCTATAATTTTTGCCCATTTTTCATTGGGCTGCTTGGTTTTGTTTGCTTGTTTTGATAAATGGGAGCTTTTTATGGATTAATAGCTCGTTCAGTTGTAGAGATTTAGATATTTATACAGAAACAAAAATAAGGATTTATAAAAATTAATTTAGGGAATTGGTAGCTTATGATGTTCTATCTGGGAGTGTGGTATGCTTTTTCTATTCTCATCTGCATTTGTATCCCTCAGTGATATTAAATTCTCTTCATATAATTCTTGCACATTTCTTGTTAGAAGTATCTTATGTGGTCTATTGTGAATGAGATTTTATTTCACTATAGTTTCTAAGTAAATATTGTTTGAATATATGAAGGCTATTGATTTTATTATATTTAGTACCCAGCCAGCTTGCTGAATTTTTTTGTTAAGTAATAGTTTTTAGGTTTATTCTCTTTTCTCCCCAGCTATATTGAGGTACAATGGAGAAATTAAAATTGTATATATTTAAGGTACAATGTGATGTTTTGATATACGAATACACTGTGAAATGTTTACCACAATCAAACTAATTAACGTATCCATCACCTCACACGGTTACATGTTTTGTTTTTAGTGTGATAAGAATTCTTATTCTCTAAGCAAATTTCAAGTATACAGTATATTACTATTAACTATAAACTATAATCATTGCTATACATTAGATCTCCAGGACTTACTGATTTTAAAACTAGAAGTTTGTATACTCTGACTGACATCCACCCATCCCCCTCCCCACCCCAGCCCCTGGTAACCACCATTCTACCCTCTGGTTCTGTAAGTTCGACTTTTTAAAATTGCACTTATAAGAGATCATACATGTTTCTTTGTTTGGCTTATTTCATATCTTCACTTTTGTGAATAATCCTGCTATGAACATGGGAGTGCAGATATCTCTTCAAGATGCTGATTTCATTTCCCTTCAATATATAGCCAGTAGTAGGATTACTGGATCATCTAGTAGCTCTATTTTTAATTTTTTGAGGAACCTCCATGCTGTTTTCCATAACGGCTGTACCAACTTACATTCCCACCAACAGGGCTCCTTTCTCCAAACCCTCACCAACATTTATTTCTTGTCTTCTTGATAATAGCCATCCTAACAGTCATGAGGTGATATCATTGCAGTTTCGGTTTGTTATTTCCTTGATGATTAGTGATTTTTGCACATACCTGTTGGTCATTTGTATTTCTTTAGAAAAATGTGTGTTCAGGTCCTTTGCCCATTTTTTAATCAGGATGATTTTTTTTGGTATTGAGTTGTATGAGTTCTTTATGCATTTTGGATTTTAACCCCTTATCAGATATATAGTTTGCAAATATTTTCTCCCATTTCACAGGTTGCCTTTTCATTTTGTCTGTCTCCTTTGCTGCGCAGAAACTTTTTAGTTTGATGTAGTCCCACTTGTTTTAGCTTTTGTCGCCTGTGCATTTAGCGTCATATCCAAAAAACTGCCAAGACCAGTGTCAAGAAGCTTTTTCTATTTTCTCATAGGAATTTTGCAGTTTCAGGTCTAAGGTTTAAGTTGTTAATCCATTTGGAGTTGATTTTTTGAATATGGCAAAATAAAAGTATCCAACTGCATTCTTTTGCATGTGGAAATCCAGTTTTCCTAGCATTATTTGTTGAAGAGACTAGCCCCATTGTGTATTCTTGGCACCCTTGTCATAGATTAGTTGGCAGAATCTATGGGTGTGGGTTTAATTCTGGGTTCTCTATTCAGTTCCATTGTTCTGTGTATCTGTTTTTATCCCAATATCATAGTATTTTGATTACTATAGTTTTGCAATATAGTTTGAAATCAGGAAGTGTGATGCTTCCAGCTTCGTTCATCTTTCTCAAGATTATTTTGGCTATTCATGGTATTTTTGTGGTTCCATACAAATTTTAGGATTTTCTCTATATCTGGGGAAAATGCCACTGGAATTTTGATAGAGATTGCATTGAATCTGTAGATCACTTTGTGTAGTATGGACATTTTAACAATATTAACTCTTCCAATCCATGAATGTGGGAAATCTTCCCATTTACTTTTGTCTTTTTCATATCTTTCATCAATCTCTTATAGTTTTCATTGGACAGATTTTTCACCTCAGTTAAATTTATTCCTAAGTGTATTATTCTTTTTGATGTTTTTTTTTTAATTCCTTTTTCAGCTAGTTGTTAGTGTAACAAAATGCAGCTGATTTTTGTATTTTTTTTAATTCTGTAGTGTTACTGAATTCATTTTTTTTTAACAGGTTTTTGGTGGAGTCTTTAGGATTTCTATATATAAGACCATGTCACCAGCAAAGACAGTTTTACTTCCTCCTTTCTTATTTGGATGCCTTTTATTTTTCTCACCTAACTTCTCTGGCTAGGACTTCCAGTACTGTGTTAAATAGATGTGGTGAGAGTTGGCATCCTTGTCTTGTTCCTTATCTTAGAGGAAGAGCTTTTAGCTTTTCACAATTGAGTATGATGTTAGCTGTGAGCTTGACATATACGGCCTTTATTATGTTGAAGTACATTCCTTCTTGCCTAATTTGTTGAGAGTTTTTATCATTAAAGGTTGTTAGGGCTTCCCTGGTGGCACAGTGGTTGGGAGTCCGCCTGTTGATGCAGGTTCGTGCCCCGGTCCGGGAGGATCCCACATGCCGCGGAGCGGCTGGGCCCGTGAGCCGTGGCCGCTGAGCCTGCACGTCCAGAGACTGGGCTGGGCTATGCGGCTGCTTCCCACTAGCTATCTATTTTACGTTTGGTAGTGTATATATGTCCATGCCACTCTCACTTTGTCACAGCGTACCCTTCCCCCTCCCCACATCAAGTCCATTCTCTAGTAGGTCTGTATCTTTATTCCCATCTTACCCCTAGGTTTTTCATGACCTTTTTTTTTTCTTAGATTCCATATATGTGTTAGCATATGGTATTTGTTTTTCTTTCTGACTTACTTCACTCTGTGTGACAGACTCTAGGTCCATCCACCTCACTACAAATAACTCAATTTCGTTTCGTTTTATGGCTGAGTAATATTCCATTGTGTATATGTACAATGGAGATGTTTTTAATCCTTCATTCTTTTAATATGGTGTATCACATTTATTGACTTACATGGGATCTTAGTTTCCTGAACAGGGATCGAACCCACACCCCTCTGCAGTGGAAATAGAGAGTCCTAACCACTGGACCACCAGGGAAGTCTGAGAATTTAAAGGTTTAAATGTTTGATAGAATTCACCCATGAAGCTATCTGGTCCTGGGCTTTTCTTTGTTGAGAGGTTTTTGATTACTGCTTCAGTCTCCTTACTTATACTTCATATGTTCAGGTTTTCTGTTTATTCATTATTCAGTTGTATGTTTCTAGCAATTTATCCATTTTTTCTAGGTTATCCAGTTTGTTGGCGTGTAATTATTCCTAGTAGTCTCTTATGATCCTTTGTATTTTTGCGGTATCAGTTGTAATGTCTCCTCTTTCGTTTATGTAATTTTATTTATTAGAATCCTTTTTTTTCTTGGTTAGTCTAGCTAAAGGCTTGTCACTTTTATTGTTCAAAAAAGGTAATTTTTTTTTCTATTGTCTTTCTAGTCGCTATTTCTGCTCTAATCTTTATTACTTCATTTCTTCTTGTAACTTTAGGCTCAGTTCTTCATTCGTTCCTTGAGAAGTAAAGCTAGGTTTTTTATTTGAGATCTTTTTTATTAATGTAAGCATTTATTGCTATAAACTTCCCTCTTAGAACTGCTTTTGCTGCATCTAGCATCTGTCTTTTCCTAAGTGCTGTAGTCTTGGAATCACATTGCTTCCCCTTAGAAAAGGTCACTATATGGAAAACCATCAGTTCAAGTTGGCAATGAGTTTTGGAGAAGACAGTGGAGCTGGTTTTTGTTGTGTAGGCCCATAGTTAACAAGCAGTCTGATAAACTCAAGACATTTGTTTCATCTCTAAAATGGGGATAACATTTAGTTCACAGGATGAACTATATGGAAGTCAAATTTATATGAAAACATTGTAATTACAGAAGAATTCTATGTAGTTTTTAGGCATAGCAATTTGAATGGCCACTAAGGAACTTCCTTAATTTCTATTCCATTGGTTCTACCTTGACCTCACCATTATCAAGCACCTCAGAACCCAAAGAAGTGAAGTCCCCTCTACTGCTCTCCACCCCCATCTGACAGTTCTCTCTTTTTCAGTTTAACCTGCTGTTTGGATGGAGCATCTCTGACTACCGAACTTATCTCAGTTCAGCAGTGACTGTTGTTGGTCTCCTGATGGGAATCTCTCATCACAAGGAGGTAAAAACCCTATTCCTGGTTTCCCTGCAGAATTCTATTTGGTTTAATATATCAAACAAGGGGAGAATTGCTTATAAAAGCAGCCCCTACTGTACCACTGCATACTGGAAAAGGGAGAAACTTAGTTCCTTTGCCATTATTTTATGGTATTACCTATAGATACTGTATAGCTTTTGAGTGGCTGTTACCTTCAGAAGTCCTTCCTTTCCTAAGCACATAGTCCCACCTTTCTCACTTCTTCTATCCTTAATCTTACTGCCAAAGACACTGGGCCTGAACTTGTGTTCTCACACCTGGCCAGATTAACATGACTGCTGCTGCTTTCTCAACGGCCCTTTGAAGGGTACAATTGGAAGTGACTTAAAAAAAAAATTAGGGAGGTACAATTCCAGAAAGAATTGCAGTTATTTCTGTTTATAAATACTAATTTCAGAGAGGCTGTTATTTTCTCCCAGGAACTACCTACACAAATCCCTTTCTACTCAACATAAAAAATAAAGTAGGAAACCCAGGTGAGGTTTTGGGTCCCAAACACTAGCACATATAGATTTGATAAGAAAAAAACTGCAATTCAAATTAGTGAAACTGGCAAGATTTTCATCAAAGCTCATCATTCTGATACTCTAGAAATCAAAGGTTACTCATTAAAATGGGTAAATTAACATAGTTTCTAAGGTGGAAAGTTACCACCACCTTCCTAAAATCTAAGAAAGATGAACATAACTGCTATTTTGGGTGGACCGTTTTGTTGTGGTTCCAGCCCGTCACTAGGGAATGAAGTCCTCACCCCTGGAACACTTTATATACTAAAGCTCTTAAAGAAGTAACAATCATAATAAGCTTTTGCTGACACCTACTTTTTGACTTACAAGGGAGAATGGAGAACACTTACTGGGGACAGTCTTGCATTACGAACTCAGCGTTTGCCCAAACTGTTTGGTTGATCTGGAGTTATGATTAAACTCTTTTACAATAAGTAGATATAAGCTGGCAGCCATTATAATATCTCTGTCACAGAGATTTCCATCACAGTAGTATTTATTGCAAGTATTCATCCTCTAAGTTGTTGGGTGTTTTTTTAAAAACAGTGCCCTGTGGCAGTAATGAATGAGCCAATACCAAAGGAAAATAATCATTTTTAAAAGGAACACCTAAATTCAAGAATTCGGAAACCAAATTTTACTGGAAACCATTCTAGTAAGCCCTACATTTGAGAAAGATCTCTTTGTACTGAAAAGGCAAGAATGGCAAAACTCAGTAATTATACTTTTAAAGGTAACTATTAAAAAAAAATCTAGAAAAAGCATTAAAAGCCAGTTTTCTATGGCTAACCTTTTAAACTGTATTGGAATGCTCCTATGTTCAGAGTAGAAAGTGCTTGGAATGGCAGAGACAGTTTTCATTATCACTGCTGGTATCTATGTATTCTTTCAACACACTTTTGCTATTCCTTGAAGCTTCCATATTTAGAAATATTTTCCAGAATTGCCAACAACTCACAAGGGCTTTGAGTCACTTATAATTCCATTACAACTCACCTGTTTTCTTCTTGTGAAAGCCCTGAAGGCACAATTATTTACACTCTTAGAGTCAGTCACTCTTGCTTTTCTGTCCACTCAAAAGTATTTTCCTTTTTAATATTTTCGCTTTTCTAGTTTCCACCAGACATAAGTGTTTCCTTACGTGAATATATCCCAAATGTTAGCATATATCTTACATTTTTAAAGTAGATATTAAACTCAGTGTTTAAACTCGAAGTGTCCTATTGTCTTTCCAGGTTATTGCTTTAAACCCAGTCCTGGGCTCCTTTCTTATTCTCCTAACCAGTGTTGTTTTGATGGTACTTGTGATCATTAACCTTTTTGTTTCTGCCATTTTAATGACCTTTGGTAAAGAAAGAAAGTCCTTTAAGGTAAGTAACTCTGACTCAGGAATTGAAATATAAACCGTATCATGATTTTATCACTGGAAAAGCTCTATTTTAGCTGCTCTTAAAATTACAGACTGACATAACGCACAGTATCAGCATACTCCCTTTGTTAGTCTCCACAGCTCTGCCAACCATTTTCCTAGGAAACCCAATTTACCAAAAGTACATTATGTTCTACATCCACTGTCCTATAAATAGCTGGCCCTCCACTGTTAAGTAGCAGAAACACTCCAAGGCCTGACAGTAAACCATTAAAGGAAACAGTATCTTTACACTTTATATCTACTTTTTAAAAAATATATCTTTGGTACTTTTTTCCTCCACCATTAGCAGCAATTTCGATTTCCTTGCTTTTCTCTTTTTGTCTTCCAACAGACTCAGAAAGAAGCTGCACTGATGGATATGCTGCTACTGAAGCTCTCAAGTTTGTTAGGAAAACAGCAGCACCAGAACACATGTAAGTAAGCAAACAGCTGTAACAGCAATGGCCACTGACCGAAGTTTCGAAAGATTAATCCTGTTACCTCCTCGCTTGGCTTATTACTTCTTAGTATATTAATACTGATCTTTGCATGGTGTACTTTAGAAAATTATAGATGTTTATAATATACTTAGTTAATTTTGTTAAGTCAGTGAAGAATCAAAATCCCCTTGGCTGCAGATTCTTATATTTATGGAACTTGGCACTATCAGAGGGTTAACACTGCAAGAGTGGTGCAGGATCAACCAGCTCTGCTGCCAAACAAACACCAAGTAACATCATTCATGTTCCAGGATGATTATGGGAAATATGAGTCAGAAGTAAGCTCACTGCAACTTTCATTAAAGATACAAGCATGAGATTTGGCTAAGGGGGAGCCCTGTCACAGAGAAGTAACCAAGCCAACTCACAGGTAACAATCTGGGCTTAAATACTGAGATCGAAATGAGTCCCTTACTCCCCAGGCATCCATCCATATTACCCAGGGAGCCAATAAGGTCTGGCTTGTGCCCAGTATGGGTCACTTGCTTCAATACTCTCCACTAAAATCTTGCCCCTCGTCATTTGACCAAAACAATGGAGAAAGCGGGGCACAGAATTTTTAACTTTATTAGCAGCTACTGAGCCATGACATACAAATCAATCAAAAACATTAAAGAAAAGTTGCTTGAAACAAGTGTGTACAGATACACCACACAGAAGCCGAAGTCATATCTTCCAATCCCAAATCCATCCTTGTGGGGAAGGATGGCCTTAACTAGGGGGCAAAACAGTAAGAGTCTCATCCGTCGAGGGAAGGAGCAAAACACCTACAGCCACATGGGCACCAAAAATTTATCTGAGATCAGTTTTTAAAGGTTCTCTTGATCATAACGTTTTCACATGAAAACAGGAACCCCTCTTCACCTGTAGGCTTTCCAGCTCACTACTCAAGAGACTTGAATATTTCTATTAAGGCTACTGGAAGCCCACCTTAGCCTTGAATGGTGACTTCTGCCCAGTACGTGGCCAGCAATGCAATCCAACAGAACATGCCATGGGGAAAAACAGGAATTTATATACAGTGCTGCCCTCTATTAAAAGGGAAACACAGCACTCAAAATAAAGCAAAAGGCCACAGAGGGCTCCCTGAGAATCCAGTAGAACTAAGAGAGGCCTTCAACTTTCCAAAGCTTGCAACTGGATCCAGGTGGAACAGTGCCCTGCAGCAAGGAGTAGTGTGTATGTCAATGAGAAGACCCAGCTTCTAAGAATTGTTACAATGGCTTCCTGAGCCATTTTCTCTCTCCCATTCATATTAGAGCGAGAAAATAGACAACTTGGCCTAGAATCTCACTCACCACCAATCCCTCTGTACTGAGGGCTTTGTTTCTAAGTCTAGAACCTCAGCACAGAGCTGAGACACTTCATGAAGTGCTCTCCTCCACCTTCCGGCCATCCTTGACAGCTCTCCGCTTCTCACTCCCCTGTGGAGGGATGGTGGGACAGGAAGGAGAGAAATGGGATCACACTGACAGGAAATGGACAAGCAAGGCTGCCAGGAGCCAGCTGCTCCAACCTCACAATCTCCAGTTGTTAGTCTCTCAGGAGCAATGGAGAACCGGAAAGCAGCAGAGTGTGTCAGAGCAGGAAGAGAGCCCAGAGGAAGAGTGTACTCAGTGATGGTTAACAGATGAAGCAGAATTTCATGGAGATTCTTTGTTATAAGGAGAAACCGCTCAGTCTCAATTCCCAGAACTTGGACCTTGCCTGGTTTAGGAAGCCTATGTTTTCTTTTTCAGCTCTTCAAATCTCCGGGAAAGATCATCAAAGTCAATGTCTTCAGAGGCTGAGGTGTTGGCACCAGCAGATGCAGCTGGTAGTGTGTCTGGCACAGATGGTAATTCTGGCAGTACAAAGTTGTCATAGGTATCCACGGGTCTGGAAGGGGGCTTTGCAGAAGCTTTTGGCTTGGGTCCAGGACCTAATTAAATTACAGTAAGGAGCACAGTGTTAAAAATGCCAGTGGCTCAGATCCTCAAACCCCACAATCCCCCCTGGCAGAAACAATAAAATAATCAAAATACTGGAGAAAACATTGTTTTTTAAAAAATAATTAATTCTAAAGGTCAATAAAAATTTTCAGGACAATTAACAGCTACGTTTTCTAATTATGGTTGAATATATGTTTTACTTTCCTACAGTGAGAAAAACGTTTAAGGGAAAGTCAAAGTGTGGTGCATGGGGCTTAGGTACACAGCATTCATTTCAATGGACTGTCCCCTTTCACAAAGGTCTACTCCCATAATAAGCAAGTCCAAGAAATGGTACTAGAATTCTACTGGGATGAGCTACTCTTTAAGGCTTATGGGAAAAAAATTTTATATGGAATGTTAACATCCATACCGTTTGATGTAATAGAATGTGATCTGTATTTCTAGTCTTCCGGTTTGTATCTTACAAGTTAAAATCATCGCCCTCTCTATCTCTACCTACTGTATGTTTCCATTTGTATCTGAGTTCTAGAACAGGCAACCTAAACCACAGTTTTAGGAAATAAGAACAGTGCTTGCCTCTGCGATGGAACTGACTAGAAAGGAACACAAGGTAACTTTCTGGGGTGATAGAAATGTTTTGTATCGTTACTGAGGTGGTGGTTACATAATGTATGTGTGTGGAGACACATCAAAACTCATCACAATATACACTTCTATGTATTTTTTGTATGTAAATTTTACCTCAGTGAAACTGTCCCAATTTTAAAAAATATTCCCCTCTGGGTTTCTGAAGTGCTGGTAGTGTTTTAATTTTTCAGTGAATGGCTACATGAGCATGCTTATTTTGTGAAAAGTCACTGAGCTATATACACTTATGATTCATGTCTGTTTCCCCCTCTTTAATGCCCAAATTTTAAAAAATATTTGGTATTTCCAGGCACAGTGGAAATGGAAGCAGCAGGAACATACCGAACTTGAGGATGACTGAAAACTACAAAGTGAAAAAGAATAATGATACCACTAACAGAAACAGGGAACTTGGGAGATTCTTTGGAGCCACGAAAGATCCTTTCTTTTTGGAAGTGGGAAATCCTGAGTTCTATTTCCACCGTACTGCATTTGGGGAGAGAACATGGCATGTAGGTAGAATGCCACAAGCATAAGAACAATCTGAGGGAGGAACAGTGATGAGAAAACAGCAAAGGGTTCAGTACTGAGAAACTTTCAAGAGGGTTTCTGACTCACCAATGATCTGTGCAGAAGAGACATTCTTATCAGCATTAATGTCATCAACCTGAAACACAAAGATCATGACCAGAGGAGAAAGCAGTGGCATCACTGGTGAAAGTAATGGTATAAGCCCATGTGTGTTGCAAAAGCTAAGCTGCTCAGCAAAAGCAACAGAAACTGCTCCAAAGAAACTGCCCCTCCGCCCCCTATACTCCTTTCCTGATCTTCTTCCAACCAGACAGATACCATGTTGAACTCATAACTGCCAAGCAGAGGAAAAGAAAATTCTTACCACACCATAACATCTCTCTTTAATCTGTTACCTTCACCTCCCAGGCAGAGAGAAAGCATTCTAAACCACCGCATTCATCTCCAAGAACCAAGTCCTCAAATACTAACGAAGATCTTCTACCTCATTCCTAGAAACAGCTGTGGGCAATGCTTCAATGCGTGCAAAACCAAAACATAAAAATTCAGGCCCAATGTAAAAACCAAAGGAAAGAACACTAAGCAAGCTTAGGAACAGGGCGATCTCCCTAGATGAGCAAACAAGGCTGGCAGAAAAGTCATCTAATTCTGAACCAAAACCGTTACAACCACCTACAGTTCAAGGCATCATTACCATATTAGCAATAACAGCAAGCTCTAACTATAAGACTAAAATATAAAGTTAATGCTATGGGCTGAAATTTACTAGACGCTTATCTGTTTAAGACAAAAATCTGATTCTTATTCCTTTACACAGTGTTGAGAATTTATAAAACTGGTATTTCAATGATTCTAGTACCAAGACTGTACCAGCTCAATATGATTCTCTGCCTAGTCTAAAAAGTCTGATCAAGTGCCCTACCACAACTTTCCGGGATCTGCAGCTCCTTCCTGATTCCTGGCTTAACTGCAGACAAAGCATTGCCACCAACGATGCTGCCACCACCACCACCACCACCACTCCCCGTTTCCAGGGTAATATTAAAGCAACACAAGAATCCAAAGCAGAGCAATGCCAGTACTAGTTGATCGAAACTTTGCCTTCCCTGTGGCCATGATTTTGCTCTCTCTTCATGGATTCACTCTCCTCCTGCTTATAAAAGAGGCTCAAGCACTTACAGATTCATACGATGGGGGAGTTGCTGGTATCTGAGGTGGATGAATATTGGGAAAGGCCTGATAAGTTCCCACTGGCAAGCCATTGAAATCCGACTGCAAGAGGAGAAAGGCAACATCAGAGACATTGCCCCTGATCTGCAATTTCTGAAGTGTGTAAATAGGAAAGGAGAAATAAATATATGTGTGTGTGTACAACTATTTTCTCAATGTGAATATATTCACACTGAACACATATATATATTCAAGATATATATTTAATACATGTATTCAAGAGCCCCAAAAGAAAAAGCGCCTAAAAGGACCACATGTGATCAGGAAGAATCCAGATTTTTAAAGATCTGTACCCAAAGGCTATTCTTCAGATTACTAAATTGCCTCAATGTCTACAAGGGAAGCTTACCAGACTTTCTTTTTTGGGGGAGAGGAGACGACCGCACTGCACAACACGTGGGATCTTAGTCCCCTGACCAGGGATCGAACTCACGCCCCATGCAGTGGAAGCATGGAGTCTTAACCACTGGACTGCCAGGGAAGTCCCCAGACTTTCTTACTAGCAATGACTTTCATCTTCTTATCTACAAAGGAGGTAGACCTGATAATAAGTATTGGTTATTCATTTTTGGAAAATGCTACTAGTATACCTACAAGTCCCAAAGGTTCAAGAAACCTACATGAAAAGGAGTTTTTCTAGTACCATCTCTCTAGATTTTCCCACTTCATTACCTACAGATGAACCAAAATACTTTCTCCAAATCCCAATGCTATTTTTTCCACAATATGATCAATAAACTAATAGCAAATATTCTTACTGCTAAATCCTCTTGATAACCTACAATTCCTGAGTGTATTCACAGAGCCAACTTGTCATCTTCTGTAACATTTTCTAGAGTTTATATCCATATTTATTTGTATGTGTACTTACTGGTCCCTTTGGAAGAGGGTATGAGAAAGGAGTGTTTGGAGATGGCATGGGCATGGGCATGGGCATTGGCACTGTTCCATCAAGTCCACCAGCTGGTGCTGTGAATCCGCCCCCACCTCCTCTTCCAGGGCCCCCTTTCTTCACATCATCTGTGAATCCAACATCAATAAGATCTGTATCTACTCCAGGAGGAGCTTCTGCCTAAGAAAAAGAGAGAAACCCGTATCATTTGGCCTGTCACCAGCTAGGTTCCCCAGGAAGCTGACTCTGAGATGGAGATTAGCGTGACAGAAGTTTACTGGAGAGGTCTCTTGGGATAGACACCTGTGGGGACATGAAGGAAGCAGGGCTGGGCAAAGGAAGAAGGTGGGCTGCCATGCATTCACAACAAAGGGGTAAGCTAATTCCCCCAGGGAGTTCTGGAGCTAGGCTGGGACTACAGCAGGTGCTCCCAACTGGGGACAAAGGGGCAGAGTCTTTAATCCCCTGCAATGACCAGTTACCAAATACAGGCTGCCCCCAGGAAAGACCCTGGGTAAGGAAGCTGTCTTCTGAGGGCCATTGCTGAAGGGACATTCAGCTGCGTGAGCCACCAGTCATCAGTACTCTCAAGAGCTGGGAGAGGGGCTTCCCTGCTGGCGCAGTGGTTAAGAATCTGCCTGCCAGCGCAGGGGACACGGGTTCAAGCCCTGGTCCAGGAAGGTCCCACATGCCGCGGAGCAACTAAGCCCGCGCACCACAACTACTGAAGCCCGTGCACCTAGAGCCCATGCTCCGCAACAAGAAAAGCCACTGCAATGAGAAGCCCACATACCGCAACGAAGACCCAATGCAGCCAAAAATAAATAAATTTAAAAAAAAAAAAAAAGCTGGCTGAATAAATGCTTCTGTCCTGAAACGTGTACTTCAGGCAGGGGTTGGGTTGTCTGAGCAGCACACCAAAACATATACTGTACCCGGTCAACATTAACTGCTGATTTACTATTTGCATATCTGCCCTTCTTTCACTGTAAGCCTCTTTAGGACAGAGACCTTGTTTATATATTTTCTGTATTCTCAGCTTTCTGGAGCACATGGCAGGCACACAAAAGATGTTTTCAGGATCTGTTCTGGGTCTTGAGGTTTTTCTTGCTACCCATAGGGGCCTCTCAATTCCTTGAACTTCATTGAAAAGTGGCAATAATGCCACTTTATATTTGTATCAAAGTTTGTACCTTTTCAAAGTGTTTTCAGTCATTCATCTCATCTGATCTCTAAATACTCTGAGAGATGCAGGCATATTTATTGTTATCCACTTGAGTGCAAAGAAAATGGTTATTTTTCAAAGACAGTGATATCGAGAGACTCATTTTCCTTTGTATTCTAAAAGACTCTAAACGTACCATGACCACAGAGTCAGGCTCATAGGGCACATTGTAGTTCTTGGC